CAGAGAGCCCGCCAATGTCTTGGAGGCCCCTCGGCGTCATTGGTCTGCGGTCTTCCGGGCGCAACCGGCCAGCCGGCTGGAGACCAGACATCGCTTGGAACGACGCTACCTGGCCTGCGAGATGGCCGACCTAGCGATGGCCAGCGTCGCGGACCTTAAGAAGACGCTTAGACATGTACGTCACAGTGCTCCTGGCCCCGGTAGCCCCCCCCCCCCCCCCCTACAAGGCTTGGATGGTCTCGGAGGGCCAGATCGCAGTCCTGCACGGCATCGCGCAGCACCTCATGGCGGGCCACCACGCACCAGAGGCCCTGGATGACTCCATCTTCGCCTTCTTGCCCAAAGGAAGTGAACGCAGTGATGCCTATGAGCGCCCGCGCAGCCCCGGTCGAATTCGCCCCCTCTCGCTGCGCAACGCGGACTCTAAGATCCTAGCTTCAGCGGCCAACCAGAAGCTCAAAGGAATGGTCCGTTCGCGGACTCACCAAGTCCAGCAAGGATTCGTGCCTGGCAGGAATTGTTTACACACTTTGCTCCAGCTAGATGCAGCTGCCCGCTCGGCTAGCATCGGCGAGACAGTCGAAGCACAGGCGCCTGTCTTTGTTGCGTTCTATATATCCGCTGCGGTGCCATCCCTTGGCCGTCACTGGCTGCGGGATGTACTCTCTCGATGTTGCGTGCCTCTGGGATATTTGAATTTGCTTGCCTCACTGTACTTTGAGCCCCGCAGTTTTGCTATGCTGCAGGGCGACGTGCAAGTCCTGTTCCCCTTGCGCTCAGGCGCAATGCAAGGCTGCCCACTTTCAGACCCGGTGCGGGCCATCGCCATGGACCAAATTTCAACCCGTCTGGTGGCGGAGGTCGTCGTCGTCCCCACGGGGGTTGGTCGAAGCATGCGCTGATGATGCTGGGCGTGCGCAGCCCTGCCTGTCAGATTTAACGCGCGTCTTCCTGTCTTCAAAAGCGCCGAGGAGCTAGCTAGCAACATTGAGGCCCCGGCCCAGCAAGGCAGTAGTTGTTCCCCTTTGGGCGGAGGCCACGTCAGAGGTAGAACATCGCATTCGCACATTCTTAGAGAGAAGCGTTCCCGAGTGGAGCAGTTTCAAGATTACTGGCCAGGCGAAGTATCCAGGAGCGCAGTTCGGCCCCGCAGCCACAGAGAGCGGGGTTCGGGCAGAGGCCAGTTTCAAGCAGTGGAGTCGGACATGCGACATTCCACGGACGGCCGCGCTCTCGAGTGTCAGCCTGCTCGCGTGCAACAGCGCTGCCCTCTCGACGCTTGGTTATCTTGCGCAGCTGTATCCATTGCCGACCGCTGTCTTGCGCAAAGAAAAAATGCTCTGCACAAAGTCCTCCGTTTGCCGCCCAGCGCGTTTCGATTGACTGATCTTTTTTTCCAAGCGCACGGCTTAGTGGTTCCCGCATCCGCGCTGATCACGAATGCAGCGAGCTTGTGGAGATGCGGCTTTCACACTTTGCGGGGGTGGGATCGCAGCTGCATGGATGGTCTGAAGCGGCGATTCTTCAAGTTCCATTGGTGCGCTGGACGCGTGGGCAATTGAGTGCGCCATGCTGGAAAATAGATCGCGTTTTCTTGCCGCGGGTTGCTAGGCTCGCCGGGGAGGCGCCCTGTTCATCAATCCCTGTGGCTGCCTGGCGATCGGCGCTGGTGGCGGCCCGCGACGAGCAGGCAAGCGCAGCGGGTGAAGGCCTCAAAGAAAAGGTCCAGCGTATCTTCTCATCCTCGCTGCGCGCCTCTCTTTTTCCACTTGGTTTCGAGATAACTATCGCTGAGCGTTTGTCTGCGTGGGGCTTGTCTGCGTCGATCAGTGGGGCGGTGTGTGAGCGGTGGGCGGAATGCCTTGAGGTGCTCCGCACGTTTCAGCCTGCGCGGCAGTGGGGCCCACTCGAGACCCTTGCAGGAAGGTGGACAACATCACGCCGCATGCGTGTCAGTCGTGTGATATCCTTTATTTTTGGTTGCAGACAGTAGCCTGACTCGAACGCGCACTATCTCACCTGCTCTGTCCTTGGTGAAATCCTTGCCTCCCCCCTTCACTTCTTTTAACACTCGGCCTTGGCACCGACAGCGAATGCAACTGTGCGGCGTGCGCACTCTCCCACATTGCCGCCATGCGCCGCGGTGTGCTCTCCTTTCGCACCGCACCTACCATAAGCTCAAGGCGACGCTGGTTCACGGAACCGCAGTGAACCTTTCAGAGCAGCATGCCGCTGTAGCAGCTGCCTTGCGCGCCACTGAAAACTAAGCGCGCGGCCAGATTGATGCCCACCAAGTACGGTCGGTCATCACCATCATCATCATCACCACCATCATCATCACACTGCTAGTCAAAAAACAATCATAACACGTACACCAATATTAATCTGAACCGTACAAGTAAAAGACAACACACATACCAATAATAATGGCAATCCTAATACCAACAATAAGCTCGTAATGCACATAGCAATAGTAACAATATGACAAGCCTGCGAAGTCGTGCCGACTGACCTCCGAGCTATCTCCGCTGGTCCTGCAGTGCTAGGAGCGGTCGGTCTTTTGTTTGGTTTTCTTGGCGACGACCTTGGCGGGAGCAATCCTGTCAGCGCGATCATTATTGATGCGTTGTCCGGTGTCACCCTTAGATGCAGCCGCGACCTCAGCCTCAAATGTTGCTTAGCATGGCTCCTCGAACTCGCTCCCATTCCTTTTGCCAGCACCCGAAAGCTGGTGGGGACAGCAGTCGGCTGCTCTTCCTGACCCTGTCCTCTTATGAAGCGCCGCGCATCCACGACTCATCGGCTGATGCGCTTGCGCGGCGGGCGAGCGGCGTCTGTCTTAGCCGCCGGAGAGAGACCAGGATGCAGTCGCCGCAGCTTCAATCTCGTCCGGATGTGTCGTTTGACCGTTGCGCGGGGGCATGGGAACATTCCGAGGACCGCGGACTCGGAGGCAAGGGCGGGACCATGAAGGCGTGGAGGCAGGCGAAGGGGGGAGGGGCGGAGGGGCGGGGAGAGACCGAGTGTGCCCTCGATGAGCAAACGAGCGCAAGCGCCTGGACAGCTGGCCCCATTTTGGGCGCGAGCGGCTGGAATCGCGCCGGGCTCCCAGACCAGCGGTCCCCAGAGCGTCTGTCTGGAGCACAGTGGCCTGGGGTGCTGTGTCAGGGCATGGTCTGGGGTTCAGCAGAAGCTGTCGAAGCAGGTCGCACAGACTCAAACGTGCGCCGCCGCTCATGATCTTGATCTTCTCATCGGAAATTTGACAGGATCATTGAGTTCGTAGATCTCGCGTATAAATATGTTGGTTTGAAGGCGTCGATATCGTTCCAGTCAGCCCTCTTGGAAATGAACGCTTCCAAACTGCACGGGAGCTTGGATCTGATGCGCGCATCGAAGATAACGAGCTTCCGCCTCCGCGTGATGTTGGCCTGCAGCCGCGCAATCTGGAGTCTGTCGAAAGCTGCGCAGGCTTCGCCAATTCTGCCACCACCATCCGCGCTCAGAAGGCTCACGCACTACATTGCTGAGGGTACGACTTTGATCAGCGTTCCTTCTGTCTCGAGCATTTTTCGGACATGCTTTACCTTCACGTATACAGTCTTGTCCCACTTTGGTTCCACACCAGAACGTTTGGTTCTGCGGATGGGACGATTCTGAAAACATTGCACCCTGTTGATGCCTAGGCTCATGGGCTTTGGCCTCGATGGAAGTACAAGCCTCATGCAGAAGGATAATACTATTAAGTGACATATTCTTCGTTTGCTCGGAGGAGCTGGCCCGATCCTGATCCGAGAAGGCTGGGCCCTTCAGGTCGAGCTCCTTGCCATAGTCGAGGCTGAGCTGGTCAGCCGAGCTCTTGACGATAGACATCATCTGGATCCTTGAGGACGCCCGCCGCCGACTTTTGAGTGGCGTCAGCTATGGCCTCCTCATTGGCGATGCCCTTTGCCACGAAGCCATCCAATTGCTCGTCCAGGTCGTCCAAGTTCTTGTCGAGAGCCGCGCGCCGCGCCAGGGCCTTGTCCAGCTTGTCCGACAATACTTTACGAGCTTGCAAGGACTTGTGCCACTCCGCCTGGGCCGAGAGAGGTGGAGGGAGATGCGCAGGAGCCGTGAAAGGGGCGCGGAGCTATTGGGCCTGCGTTGCGCTGACAGAAGGCCTGCAGCCTCTCGCCCGGCCACGGCGACAGCTTCCCAGGCAAGCTCGGCCGCCAGCATCCCAGGACTCCCAGGACCAAGTTGTGGTGCCTGCCGCCGCCAGCAGCCCTTCGGCGGCCCAGGAGGAGGAGGAGGAGGAGGAGGAGGAGGAGGATCCTCGATCCTTCGTGTCCCCTCTCCCCGTGCGAGCGGCCGCTCCTCCAGGCAGCGCCCTCCCACCCCTCTTCCGCGGCGGTCCTCGATCCGGTCGTTTGAGCCTTTACGCTTTACGGCCCTCGATCTTTCGAGCCCTCTCGGGGCTCAAGGGACGGGGGTCAATGCAAATGAGGGTCAGTCAGAGCGCCGGATCTTGCAGGATCCTGCAGAGCCAGGTGTGCATTGACCTGGGCTTGCATGCAGGATTCTGCAGGATCCCGCAGGATGTTGCAGGATCCTGCATTGCCTGACTGACCCGGGTTTGGATTGACCCGGGTCAGTAGATCCCCGACTCTAGGACTCTCGATTCTCGATTATTTGGAACCCGTTGTTCCCTGTTCGGGTCGCCGTGCCTCCAGATATAATCGGGTCAGATGACCAGGTCGAGTCTGCGAAAGCAAGGGTGCCCTCGTGTCCTGTCTATTTAATTTCGTGTCCTTCCCGTAGTCTGCGAAAGCAAGGGTGCCCTCGTGTCCTGTCTATCGAATTTCGTGTCCTTCTCGTGCCTGGGGCATGGGTTGGCTATCGGAACAGACAAGTGTCCTCTCGTCTGTCCTACGCAATCAGTCCCGATTGCAGCGCCCTCCCTCCCCCGCCCACCCCTTTCTTGCGCGGTGGCGGGGCCGCCCCTCCTCTCCCAGGAGCAGTTGCAGGAGGCGGAGAGTGGGGCCAGCAGGGCTCAGCAGGACATGAACAGGACCCGCTCACCGCCACACCGCCTGGTAAGAGGGGCGGCGGAAGGGGAGGAGGGGGATAGGGTGAAGAAGGAGGACGAGGAGCAGCAGCAGCAGGAGGAGGATGAGGACCAGTGTAAACCCAAAAATTCACCAATAAGCCCTCCTTCCATGTTCCCTCTTCACAGACCCCATACAAGGATTTCTTCTCGCTTAGGGAAACGCCCCGTCAGAAGACAGTAGTCCGAACATCCTGAACCGTGCCAAAACACCGCGAATAAACGTTATCATTGGAGCGTGTTTCTCTCTTGCTCGAGCCATAATGGGCATTATAGCCCCAGGCGCCCAGCCCCCCCCTACAACGTAACGCCCCCACCAAGTGCGCCCCGGGCACTGCCGCCGTGCGCATCGGGATCCGCATAGGCGTCCGCATAGGAATCCGCATAGGGTCTGGTCCGCAGTCGTCGTCGTCGTCGTCGTCGTCGTCACTGTCGCTCGTCGCTCGTCGCTCATCGTCGTCGTGCGTGCGGACGCGGCTGGAGCCTGTTTTTTTTTGTCCGTGCCGATGACGACCGTTATCTGGGGGGGAGGGAGTCGATGACGTAACGTTTCGCGCCCGCGGCGTCTGGGAATGCTTAAGAATGATCGAGGACGGGTAGCAGTAGCATGTGGGTGGCGATCTGCACCACAGCGCCTGTGTACACCACAGTGCCTGCGTGCACCACGGCGCCTGTGCACACTACACCGCTTATGTACACCACAGTAGCCGTGCAACACAGCGCCAGTGTGCGCCACAATGTCTGCAAGCACCACAGCGGTTGTGGACACCACAGCGCTTGCGCACACCACATCAGCCGTGCGCGACATAGCACACGTGCACACCACAATGCCTGCGTGCACTACAGCGCCTGTGTACACCACGGCGTTTGCGTGCTCCGCAACAACCAACCGTGTGCAACAGAGTGCCACTGTTGCAGATAGAAACATTAGAAGGAATATGTCTGACGAAATCGAACGCCAGTGCATTCAACAGAAAACAATGGCTTCACATAGGATTTGGAAAGAAATCCTTATGGAAAATGGAGTGCCGCTGGAATCTACAAGTCCTCCCGATTCCTCCCACATCATTCTAACTCCTCTCATCTGCGTCCAGGAGGCTCCAGCAGAATTGGCCGTCCGAGAACCAAGTGGATTGATTCAATAGACCATTCTGCGGTTCACGCTGAGATGCGCACGTGCGCTGTAGCGCCGAGCCGCGCGACACGGGGGACGGGTGAGCGAGGAGGAGGAAGACGAGGAGGAGGAGGAGGAGGAGGAAAAGGAAAAGCAGCTGGAGGTGGAGGAGGGAGGAGGGTAAAACGCTGCATTCTATTATCAGCGTTTCCCTGTCGGGCGGTTTAGCTTTCCGCAGCAGATCCTCACCTACATGCTCATTTGACCTGCCCTGTGCACGCAGGCATTGTGGTGTACACCAGCGTCGCGTTGCACGCGGATGCTGTGGTGTGGACAAGCGCCGTGCTGTGTACAGGCGCCGCGGTGCACGCATGCACTGTAGTGTGCACTAGCGCTGTGTTGCTGTGTTGCACATGGTTGCTGCGGTGCACACATTCGCCGTGGTGTACACCGGTGCTGCCGTGGTGCACGCAAGCATTGTGGTGTACAAAGGCGCTGCGTTGCACATGGTTGTCGCGGTGTACGCAGGCGCTGTGGTGTACACGTGCGCTGTGGTGCACGCGAGCCTTGTGGTGTACACAGGCGCTGTTGGGCACATCGCCACCTTCATGCTGGTCTGAGTTGGGCCCAGTCACCTCTAGGCATTCCTGGACGCCGCCAGCGCGGAACGTGACGTCATCTTGGGGGGGCGGCGGGCGGCGGGGCCGATGTCGCCCGCTATCCAGGACAATCAAACATGGGCTCTTGTGGTGCCAGAGCCACACGGCGGGGGGGGGGCGTTACGTTATACCCCCCCGTTTCCCCCCCCCCCAGTATAACGCCCACTATCGCCGAACATAAAGAACGCGTTCTTGCGTCCAAGACGGTCCAGAATGGTGACAGAACGCCGTTTCTTGGATTTTCCCGCGAATCGACGTGAAAGTTGCGCCTTGACAGTCCTACATCGTGCCAAGACACATTTTGCGGGACGAGAGTCCTTGAAGTTGCTGTCTGGGTTGCGATCCAGGCGCCCCGCGTGATTTGCCCTTTGCTTGGCGGCATCGGACGCATAGTCGAACACGTTGTTCGAACGCAGTTGGCCGCGTGCCCAGTCGCGCCTCAGGGCCGAATTTACCGGCGTATCCACAGTGGCGGCCCGTTCCAACCGAGCCACCTTTTGTCGCGCGCCGCCGTTCCGAAACGCTGGCGAGCTGGACTGGGCAGTCTCGGACTGGGCTCGGAGCTCCCTCAGCGACGGCCTCGAAGGAGACGGCCTCGCAGAAGACGGAAGCGCATCGATGCCCGAGCAAAGCCGCTTCCTGATGCCACCTGTGTGAGCCGACATCGCATCAATGCGAAGGGCAATTACAACATGGATGCAACACAACAGTGCAATGGACTTGGGTGCGAAGCGCAGTTTGCCAACACATCTGAGCCCAAGCGGCTACGTCAGGGTGGTGGAGGGGACGATGGTGGTGATGATGATGATGATGGTGGTGATAATGAAGATGATGACGACGATGATGATGATGACGACGACGATGAGGATGATGACGATGAGGATGATCATGATGATGGTGGTGATGATGGCGATACCCATGACGACGATGGCGATGACGATGGCGATGGCGGTGGTGAGGAGCAGGAGGAGCGTATGTTTATCAGTTTATATAGTTTATTGTTGTCATTTGTGGTTCAGGCTATGTTGAATGGCGGCGTTGGATGTTGAATGGCGGCGTTGGCGGCAGATTATTGTTTTTATGTTGAATGGCGGCGTTGGCGAGCGCAACGGTCGATGCGGGCATTCGGGGGAGGAGGGCGGGGGGGGTGGCCAGACGGGGAGGAGGAGGATGTTTTTTTTTCCTCGCGCACGCCTGCTCCCCTACCCTGGGCCACCCAGAGGCGCCGCCGAATCCACGTTCGGAAGCATTGCAGGCGAACCAAGAGAGCAACACACAAGCGTGCTTCCCACATACCTTGATTTGAGCATGTATGAGCTTCGGCCGCACCGCGTACTCCAGTGGGAAACGCCCTCATGACGCGCTGAAGGAAGCCGTCGCCCAAGCAGTTTCGGTTGCCTTTGGCGGCCTTGCGCTTGGAGGCTGGCTTGATCATCTTGCTGCACCACTCGATCATCTCAGTGTAGCTCTCGACGAGTTTGTCGTACTTCAGCGCGCAAGCGAGGCACTTCGCCTGGTCGTTCTCCGAACTGATCACGATCTTCTCCATCTCCCTGTAGATGTTGGAGAATGTCGTTACCAATTTGGCGACGTCATCGTGCAGGGCTGCGGAGTACTTGTTGGCGGCCGTGAGGCCAAACATCTCCTTGAGGTTGGTGAGCTGGTCGTGCACGCGCCTGTGTACCTTCCTCGGGTCCTTCATCAAGGTGGTCGCAGTCTCGGAGATTGTGCCATCGAGGCCGAGACCTACACCTGCGTTGGGGGCCATGTCCTCCTTCTTCAGTATCGTATTCGTCCCGTTGCCTGCCATGTGCATGGCAGCGCTCGTGAGCTTCTCCTGGGCGTCTTTCATCGCAGCATCGCCCTCGAGCGACTCCGTGTTGTCCAGCTTGATGATCGAGCATTCCGATTTTTGGTTGCTACCCTGATCTGGGTTGAGTTTGTACTCGCGGTCCCACTCCCCGTCCTTGCTAGTGTCCCGATCGGGGCGATGCTCGAACTTGCCCGAGTCTATGTTTGATTGTGTTTGTTTTTCCCCGATGAGGCTGATCATCCTCCCCTTCCCCACCCATTCGAAGACATTCTCGACAATCTTGCCAGTCTTGATCTCCCTGCCCGTCGTCATGTCGCCCTTCTTGGCAATGCTGTATGCGACGAAAGAGTGGACGAGCTACTGGCGCCGCACGTCGATGGGGGAGTTGTCGTACTCGTCCTTCTTCGCGTTGGCCGAGAGCCGATAGGACATGTTAGATCGTTGCCGTGTTGCTTCTGCTTGATCCTCCATGGCCTGCTGAGCCTTCTGAATATGCTCCTCTGAGACCTTCATGGGTTCGATCGGTTTCTTGGCCACCGCCTTCTTCGGGGCCATCGCTGAGGCCTGGGAAGACAGCGCGAACATCCACGCCCTCGAAATGAGCTTGGACCCAACTGGCTACGGTATTCAAAGTCGGGGGAGGGGCCAGTCGGATTCCTTTGGGCGCCTGCTTGGCGCTATGTGATTTCTGGTCTCGGTCTTTTGTATAGGCCTGTTCAGGAACAAAATAAACCAGAAGAAAACATAGCAACGGCAGACATGTCAGAAACAGACAGAACAAGACAGACCCAACACTGGAGGATGTATCTAGGAGTTCGTTGTGAGGGTATGTCTTTTTTCTGTCTTTTTGATTGTTGTATGTATTTCTATGTTTTTGGGTTGCTGCTGACTCGGAAAGTGGCGTCCAACATGTTTCTGCATCGTTGAGACTTTTGAGTGTTGAGCCAGCGCGGGGCCAGGGGTGGTGGGGGAGTAAGCACGAGGACGAGGTGGTAAAGGGAGTAGCGAGGCGCAGGACAAGGTGTTGGAGTAGCGAGTAGGGTGGAGGAGCCGTCCTTCTGTATGGTCCTGTAGTTGATTCGCTTGGTTTGACACGCGAGGGCCCCCTTGCGGCCCCCATGCGCACCCCCCCCCCCCCCCCCCCCCCCCCACACACACACACACACACTCACACACACACACACACACACACGCACGCACACACACACACACACACACACACACACACACACACACACACACACACGCACACACGGCCCCTTTAGCGCGCGCTGATCGGTCCCCAACAGCCACTTGACTGGCCCCTTACAACTGCATGCGGCCCCCCACGGGCCCGCGCGGCAATCGCAGAAGCCACCGATGTTGCTCCCGCGCGTGTCAGGC